TTTTGTTTTTTTTTGCTTTCAATCATTTTGTTGCTCTCTCCGTCTCCCACTTTTCCCATTAGAAATGCATGAAAGATACACTGAATTCGGAGTTGGACGAGTTTAAGGCGTGCACGCTCAAGAAGGCTGAAACACAAGAGAAGAACCCTCTTCCAACTCCAGAAGGTAGGTGTTTAAAATCAATCCGCTCCGCCCTTGATCCAGGTTCCTTCAGCTCCTTGTTCAGATACACGACCAACTTCCTGGGAGCTTGTTCTGCTTAATGCTGACCTGACATGAAGCAGCAGGAAGACTTAAAGTGAGGCGAACGGCCCTGACCGTTATGTCAGTGGGGAGGCACCAACGCACTGAATCAGGTGGAACTGCTGGTGCATGTCAGCTTTTTCTGAGCCTTAAACTGTGATTTTATTTGTTCCTCAGGAGAGCTATGTTGTAGTGGAAGGAGGAACCTGCTTTGTTTTAAATGTTTCTTATGAAATTGTAATTATTTTACTGAAATCTTTGATTTTTACTCCAGGGCCACACCTTGACACAGTCTACATTTAATTACATGGTCTCGTGTTGTACATTGCTGCTGAAGTAATATTCAGACATTACATTAAAGGGGCACTTGATAGATTTTACACAAAGTTAAGTTGTCATGAAGATTACTATACAACTTGTGAACACTATTTATATACTGTGGCTTCCCAATACCCATACTATTTAGTCTGTCACATACAGTATCCCAAAAATACCAGGATGTCCTAATTCATCCGGGTGCATTTTTCAGTATGCAAGTCTGCATACTTTTCTGGCTATTCTGAGCCACAATCCTCTGCACTGTGGATGTATGACAGAGTCAAAGCTTAAGATATAATTCTATGACAAAGTAGTCCCAATCGAATGCGTACTGTATTCAACGGTACATACTTTGTAAGGGAAGCTGCCGTATGTACGTATATAAAAGTGTGCCATCTGGAACGCAGTGATAATATCATCTTTGGAGCTGTCTAAATCTGATGTCATCAGGAAAAACGGGTTAGACTTGAAGACTACAAAAGAATCACAGATCGTAGTGCAGTATCTCTCTAACTATTTGCACTGCGGTCGGTACACACCAGCTAGAATATTTGACACAGACGCTTTAGATCAGGGTTCTGTGTTGTGTACATCAGAGTTGGGGTATTACATTTATTACTACAGGATGATCATGTCTATACAGAGTACTATATCAATTTGTTTTCTTGTCCTGACAAACAAATCAGGACTGATCTTTGATTAAAGTTGATGAACCTACGGCTCAGTTATTGATTGGTCACCTCACCTTACCTTTGTCTCTCTTGTGATCACACAGTAATCAAGCAAGAGAAGATAGCCATCGAAGAGGTAAGTACCTGCCATTATTCCTCTGATTCAGTCCTGCTCTGTTACCTGCTCTTCCTCCAATTAGGAGTCTTGTCCATCATCTCCGCTTCCTTCTTGGTGTCTGTGAATTTCTCAACTCTGTAGTTTTACAAGCAGGATCTGAGCATAAATCATGATCATCTTGCTTTAGACTTATATGTTCTGGAAGTTTCTTTCCCCATGCATGTTCACTTTCATCGCAAAACTAAAGCATATCATTTTCCAAATGTACTTTTGGCTACCTGCGGTTTGCTTCATAAAGTAGGTTTGTATATTTTCAGCCCAGTACTCTTTTTAAACTGAGGTAGAGCTTGATTTCATGCTGCATCTGGAGTGATGAGATTGTGTGTTTAATCTTTCTCTTAACATATTATCATGCCATGTTAACTTTTTTTTTTTTTTTTTTTTTTTTAAATCTGCTTTTTGCTTTCAATCATTTTGTTGCTCCCTCCGTCTCCCACTTTTCCCATTAGAAATGCATGAAAGATACACTGAATTCGGAGTTGGACGAGTTTAAGGCGTGCACGCTCAAGAAGGCTGAAACGCAAGAGAAGAACCCTCTTCCAACTCCAGAAGGTAGGTGTTTAAAATCAATCCGCTCCGCCCTTGATCCAGGTTCCTTCAGCTCCTTGTTCAGATACACGACCAACTTCCTGGGAGCTTGTTCTTGTTCTGCTTAATGCTGACGTGATAATATCATCTTTGGCTCTGAAGCGAGCTGTCTAAATCTGATGTCATCAGGAAAAACAGGTTAGACTTGAAGACTACAAAAGAATCACAGATCGTAGTGCAGTATCTCTCTAACTATTTGCACTGCGGTCGGTACACACCAGCTAGAATATTTGACACAGGCGCTTTAGATCAGGGTTCTGTGTTGTGTACATCAGAGTTGGGGTATTACATTTATTACTACAGGATGATCATGTCTATACATAGTACTATATCAATTTGTTTTCTTGTCCTGACAAACAAATCAGGACTGATCTTTGATTAAAGTTGATGAACCTACGGCTCAGTTATTGATTGGTCGCCTCACCTTTGTCTCTCTTGTGATCACACAGTAATTGCGCAAGAGAAGATAGCCATCGAAGAGGTAAGTACCTACTCAACTTTCTCAACGGTGTAGTGTTGCAAGCAAAAACAATAGTGTCTGTCTTTTCTCTTACATCTTCTAGAAACGGGTTATGTTCTCATGAAACTCTTTGCCCCATGCTGACGCATTTCTCTGTAAAACTGGAGCATATCTTTTCAAACTATGCTCTTACTTGCTTGTGGTTTGCTTCTTTGGCCCCGGTGTGCATTTAATATTTTCCTAATCTCTTTTGCACGTACTCCTGCTTGGTATTATCGCAAAGAAACACAATATATCGTCCACTTCATATGCTGATAACACACCGTTGTAGATATCCCTGTCCTCCGATCTCAGGCCTGTTAACAAACGTGTTCACTTTCTTAATGATTCTGATTTCTGGATGTTCAGAAACGTTGTATATACAGCTGAGCACCGATGAGACTGATCTATTCGTAGTTGAACCTAAAAGTCAGACAGGAAATGTATTCACACTTGGCATCACTGTCACTAAAATGCAGTGTGCAAGCCCAGGTATTTTTGGATGCTGATGCTACTGTATCGCTCTGTTTACAGGATTATCCAAACAGTCAGTAGGACGGCTCCAGATTAGTCCTTACACATACTCTAAAACTTGAACAGATTACTCCTGTACTGAATAATAATGCATTTTATTATTTTATTCAAAAAACTCAGACACGTTACAGAGGGGATAAAATGGATAGAAATATTGGAACACGTGCATCATAGAAATTGACGCTGCACTGAAATCACGTCATTGGCTCCGGGGACAATAATCGCCTTCAAAATCCTGCTAATAGTCTACAAAGCACCTAAAGGTTTAAGTTTATATGAATAAAATTGGCATTTCCAGTCAACGACCACACATAAATGCAGATCAATGTTCAATACGGTAGGTTTCCCTCTAATCCCCGTACGCATGTAACTGAATACCTGTAAATAACATGACACCACATACGAGCTCTTTGTTCATCGTGAGCCAGTAGGTCATAGAGTAGGTACGTGTTGTTTCCTGTGACTGGCTTACAGCCAGAGTTCAGCCCAGTACTTTCTTTTTAAACTGAGGTGGAGCTTGATTTCATACTGCACTGAGTGATGATGGGATTGTTATTTCTTTCTCGTACATTCTCTTAACTTTTGATCATGTTAATTTTAAAAATCTGTTTTGATTTCAATCTTATTTTTTGTTGCTCTCTCCGTCTCTTTTTTTTACATTAGAAATGCATGAAGGAGCCACTCAATACGGAGTTGGAGGGGTTTAATGCGTGCAAGCTGAAGAAGGCTGAAACAAAAGAAAAGATCGCTCTTCCAACTAAAGAAGGTAGGTGTTTCAAATCTATCTGATCCGCCCTTGATCGGGTTCCTTCAGCTCCTTGTTCGGATACATGACCAACTTCCTGGGAGCTTGTTCTTGTGCTGCTTAATGCTGACCTGACATGAAGCAGCAGGAAGACTTAAAGTGAGGCAAACAGCCCTGACCGTTATGTCAGTGGGGAGGCACCAAAGCACTGAATCAGCTGGTGCATGTCAGCGTTTTCTGAGCCTTAAACTGATTTATTTCTTCTCCTATTTTACTGAAATCATGTCTTTGTTCATTTCAAATGTGATTTTCAATCCTGTGCCACACCTTGACACATTCTGCATTTACTATACATTACTAGACCGCCTGTGAAAACAATGGTCTGCTGTCCTCTGTGGCTCCAAAGGGACCTGTCTTAATCTGATGACACCATAGTCATAAGATAAGATAAGATAATCCTTTATTAGTCCCGCAGTGGGGAAATTCACAGCAGCAAAGTGGACGGTGCACACAAGATGCAGAGTAAAGAGTAATAAGTAATAAACAGTATATCAACTAAGTAAAGAAGTACAACATCCACAGTAACTATAACTAAAGAATTTAAATATTGTATATACAGACAGGGTATTTTTTTGGTGTTGTGTGGTCTACTGGGAGCACAACAGATGCCATCTGGAGTAGTGAGTTAGGCTTAATGACTACAAATTTATCACAAAGTTGGCATTTAGCTAATACAAGATGTTATTGAGTTGCATTATGGGAGGATCCAGTGTTTTTGGAGCTTGCCCCGTGCTAGACACTAACGTGTATTGTATCTGTGCCGCTTTGATTTAGAGATTCTGTTTCTCTTCCAAGGTTGCTAATGTTTAAACACAGTGCTATATTGATTAGTTTACTTGTCCTGCCAACAGTTGAGGACTAATCTTTGATGTCCAGACTCTGTTATAGGTTGACCACCTCATCTGTCTCTCTCTCTTGTGATCACACAGAAATTGAAGCGGAGAAGGCAGAGAAGAAAGCGAGAAAGTAACAAGCGCAACGGTCATGATTCAGCTCTCTGTCCTGCTCCTCTAAATCGTAATCTTGTTAATCATATCCGCCTTTGCCTGTTTTCTGTGCCGCCATGGTTTATTAGAAATGGTGTTAGGGCTGACGCTTTGGGGAACATCTGTCTGTAATCTTATGTAGATGTTTGTTCTTTCTGTGCAGTTTAGAAAGAGCTGAGCAATATTATTTTCTAAAACGAGAGGAATCATAAATGATTGTATTAATGGAAAGCCATGTATGATATTACATTGTTAGCAATGCCATGAGTATGCTTGTAAATGTTAACATTCAGAAAATGTTCTGAGAGGGAACGCATAAGATGATTATTTTTTTTTCATAATAAAAATGGATGCATCAAATGTGAGTTGTATTTCAAACTGATTTTGAACTGATGTAAGCGCTGGACATTGTCTAAATAATTTTCAAATGAAAATATTAATATTTAAAGCTCGGGTATACTTTCAAGTATTTCACTGCTGAAAATATGGTACTTTCATAAAACTGTGCTGTCTATGCGTTAGAGGCCCACAGCTTGACTCTAGGCCTCTTCCACATGCTGTAATTTCTCCGCACTGTATTCTGGCTCATATTCTAAGTAGGCCAGGCCTGAATGTCCGATTCCAGCATTGGGCTACACTATGCCCCTCGCTCTTCATGCAGGCATACAAAAAAAAGTGGAAGTACAGTCTGTAGTTTGAACAACCCGAAAGTCACGTCGACTGACGGGAGTACTGCTGTGAACTCTGGGTGCTCGTAACATGGAGGGAAGTTAATCTGTTAATACTACCCACATTGTAATTATACAAAGCTTGTTGAAAATCTGCAAATTTTCCCTCAAGTGGTCAGAAAGGAAAGTTGGGGCAGTTTGGGTGCGCTGTACCTGTTCATGTAGAGTACTCGGTGGAACAATATTGTGTTCACAATAGGGAACGATATAAACTAAATACAGTCCAATAGGTTTTAGAATACAATCTGAGTGTTTCACCATTATGAGCAAAAGTCTGTTTTAACAGTAACAAAAATTTATAGAAATTGACTCGCTCTCCTGTTACTTGACCATGTTTGCTGAGTAGAAAAGGGTCATCAATGAAAGTGTTTTATTTTTGAATAATAAAACTGACTTGTTTGAGCATGCATAGTCGGTTTGCCTTGGCTGCACATGAGCAACGTATATTTAAACTGAATTTCGAATGGTTGAGTCAACCGTTCTCAGTCAAAACCTTTATCTGGAATTACAACAGGTCTAAGCCTGCAAGAAAAGAAAAGGGAGTGGATCCGCTTCAGCTGCTACACATTCCACATTGCCATGAAATATTTTTTATGTTGAAACGTTGAGTTTTAATAAGCAGGGGTGTCGCATTTATACTCTTTTAAAAGGCATGTCATTGCAAAATGTTTACATGATTCTTGTATCTTTGCAGTATGAACTTGCTTTGGGGATGCATCACATTTTCATACTATGTGGATTGCTTAAGGTGGTGCAGGCTGTGCTTTTCCATTTTTCCACAAGCCTGTTGAAACATGCTCATACAACAGCATGCAGGCACTAGAGTGAAGACTTACTTTATCCCTTCTAATTGTCTTTGGTTAGAATTACGTTACCAAAATTAGAGACTAATGCAGATTTACAATTTCCCTTCTGTTGAAAGGAAGCCTGTTAAGATCATGAAAAATAAATTAAAGGAAATGATAGCTTTCATGAATCTGCAAAAACGGATCATCTGCATGTAGTTTTCTTTTCCCATGGTCTTTCAGGATCAGACATGTCTGTGCACTGACAACAGACTAGACGTTGCAGCACCAGAAGAGAGAGATGAAATGATAGGAGGTAGACATTAACTTATGACGTTATTCAGCATCCTTAAAAATCATTCTCGAGCCATATACTGAAAAACCCAAACTTGTATTTGTGATTTATGCTGTAGCATTGCATTCTCACAGGGTTACTGGTTGTTTACTGACCTACATTTTTATTGCCTGCTGTTTTCAATTGTCGCAACGTCAACTGCACATGATTATTGTCTCTCGCAAAACAAGTTTTACAGATACTTTTACTGGCATCACTACTTCCTTAAAATACCCTTGTCCAACAAATAATCTTTTCATCATGAAGACATATTTGAGCAAACTACCATTGCAAAACAAGTCACACTTTTGCTGCATTCATACCACAACTTAGTAGTTTATATTCTTTTGCAATTTCACAATCCTGCGTTTTTCTATGCACCGATGCAGTAAAGTGAAGACATTTTGTAAGTAAGTCTAGTAGGTCTTATCAAGCTATGAAATTATGAGGTGATCATCGTCCTCAAATAGCTGAAAGAACGTAAATGACCAGAAACGCGGTGAGAATTGTCTGTTTTTTAATGTTATAACACAGTTACTGCATTTGAAATGTCCTTTTCTTTTTGTTTGTGGAAACGGAAAAACATTTTCTCAGTTAACTCAAGTAGTATTTAGGATCTATTTTCAGTGTCTGGAGACACTTGCTATGTGTACTCCAGTATAATGGGGTGGATACAGTATTAATAGTTAATTAAAACTCAACAGCAATGCCTTTTCCTAAGAAACGGTGTCCCGGGCTATCATTCTTTCTCATTCTTCAGTGTCACTAATCACTGCAGATACAATTTTACTGATAGAATTATGTAAACAGCGACACCTACCGGCTACAGTATATATTACAACAAATTACATTGCAGTACTACTTCTCTCACATAGGGGGCGCCAAATACCAGCTAAACTCCATAGGGGGAGGGGCGAGCGCTTCCGCTGCTGGTCGATTCATTGGGCTAACTAAAGTCCATCAACAAGCTAGTTAACGTTAGCTGTGAGCGATACGATGAACGCTATTAGTGATGCTCTGGCATCAAGAAAACATGGACTAGCTAACTGAGATGTATTCCGCTGTATTGACAATCATTGCCTAGGTGAGGACCATTTCAGGTGGTCGTAATTAGCTGCTTCATTCATGCGGTCGCTGGTGCACCGCGGAGTTTGAGCTCTTGAGTGTCGGGCAAGCTTAGTCATCAAGCTCGCTGGGGACGACTGGAACAAGACGGCTCACTCACCGGTACGGTTGTATTTGCTGTTAGCATGCTAGCCGAGCTAACATTAACCTGAGTGCTCAAATGTCTCGATATACTACGATATAGCTGCTGCAAGTTCACAGCTCGGGGTTAGATGTGGTGGTGTACACATCTTCCTCTTGTAGCTTAGCTTCTTGCAACGGTCATTGCAGTTGAAGACAAAAAGTGTTCGGCGTCATGTAAATACATGTAAAATGATTGTTGCCTGAAATCGACTCACGTTCGTTAATGTACTGTTCAAGTGGCGCATTGATACCAGAGCTAGTCCGTGTGACTTACGTCCAAAGCTCTGCATGTGAGTGAAGTAGCTAAAGAATATTTATTCATGTTACTTATATATTATATATTTGTAACTATGTGTTAAGTTGCTGTTGTGTTGCCCCGATGATAGTGCCTATTCCCTAAAGGTGTAGTCAGCAACATAACGTGAGTTTTGCACAAGCTTGGGCTAATGTGTTAATATGAAGACCTGTTGTGTGTTGTCATGATGTAAATTATAATCCTACTCTTCCTCCCAATAGAGAAGGAGCATGGTGGTCCCGGACAGTGCCAGTGTGGTCCCCCAGGCTGACAATGGCAGTCCCACTGGCCCCCTGGAGAGCTCCACGCCTGGGTGCGGGGAGGAAGAAGAGGGGGGTCCGGACCTGGCAGGGGGGGGGCTGGAGGAGGTACGAAAGCTGCAGGAGCTCGTTCGTAGGTTGGAGGTCCAGAACGAGACCCTGCGCAACAGGGGGAGCAAGACCATCGTCCACAGAGGAGCCGGCAGCAACAGCAACCTCACAGACGCTGTGTATGTCAACGAGAGGCTGACTTGCGAGGAGGTGACCAACTCCCACCTCAGATTGGAGCACGGTGGCGAGCTGAGCACAACAGACTTTGAGCTGTCGCCCACTCAGGACAGCAGCAGCAGCTTTGAAGACATGTCCCCTCTGCCCATGGCCAACAGGCTGGAGGAAGAGGATGAAGAGGAGGACCAGGGTCCGTGTGGGGGTTTTCTCAACTTGACCTGCAGCAACGGAGCGGCACAGTCCCTGCAGACCTCAGAGAGCCCCTCTCTGGAAAGTTATGAGTCGGAGACACTTGCGGAGAGCGACTCGGGGGCGGACCAAACTGCACTGGATGAAGTGGACGTCCTAGATCTGGAGGATGAGTGTGCAGACGTGGAGGACGAGGACAGTTGGTATGTTTTGATGTCTGAACTGCTTGTCTCTGGCCTCTTGTTATGTCTTCTCCCTCTAGCCCACCTGTTTGGGTTATCCCAAGATATCGGTACTGGACTGATCGGTGTGCGGGATCTTAACATTTGCAGATGTGAGAGAGAGAGCGAGTCAAATCCATGATGTGTAGCAGAGCATAAGAGTTACCTTCAGGGGAAGTAGACTTCTGGCAGCACAGGCCACAGCGATGCCATATTTTAAGTGTGTATAGGTAGAAGAGCCACATGAGTCACTTGTGCTCTTTCCTTTCGACCTTCTTTTCGACTCCCCCACAGGATGTGACTATGTTCCGTAGCAGCAGTAGGTTATTTGGATTTAAAATTAGAGTTAATTCATGGCCGAGACAGAAACCACTTTCTTTTTTTTTCCCTCCTTATCCACAGAATCTTTTCTTTTACTTTCAGAGCTTTGCTTAACTGTGGCAAACATTTTGAGCACTAGCTCTGAATATTAACTGTAATCAGGAGGAAATTGTGTCCGTGATGGAGAAAAGAGAGAGAAGAAAGACACCGGACCGACAAGGAGGCGGTAAAAGAAATGGGCAGCCCGCCGGAGGGAATCGGTTCAGACGCAGTTGACGTGCCTAACAAAGTGAGAGGCTGTTGGTCGTCCCTTAAAATTGACTCTGAGCTGTCTGACTGAGGTAAACAACAGGCGCGACCGATGTGCGACCTGTTTGGCAGGTAATGATGAACACAAAGGTGCTGGTATTTTTTTCACCCTGTGAGTCTCTGTGTGGGTGTGTCATCGTGGCAGGATGTGGTCCAGGAGACTCCCACTAAAGCAGAAGAACCACAGAAGAGTTTTCCAGTACTTTGCCAGGTGTTTCTATTTCTCTGGACAGATTTTGTCACCACATTAACGTCAAAACTGTGCAAATGCAGTCGTAAAACCGTACGGGTGTGTAGTTGAGCCAAGTTTGAAGATGGCCCGATTTTGTGTTGCAGCCGGATCGTCTCTGGTTTTGTTTGTGTCAGCATGAATTAACATAATTTAGGTACCAGAAGTGTTCTATCAAGCTGTTTCAAGAAGAAAAGCTATTTCAGAAATAATTGTAGTAATATGTGTTGTTATTGTTGGCCCGGCATAGAGCTCCATTCACTAACCCTTGTTACACAATGTACTAAAGATCAACTTCTGCATTAGTTCATTCCTGAATGCCGGTCAGGTTGAAGCTTATAAAATGTTGTTGTTTTTTAAAACAATATGGCCTTTGTTCATTTCCTCCAGTTTTAATTGGCAGAATATTACCAAAATGACCAGTTATAGAGGGTTAATTACTAATAATCCATGTTTACATCATGCCAGAGTTCAGTCTAGACATGTTTGTTTATGCTGTGCGTGTCCCATATTGTGTGCCTGATGGTTACTTTAGCAGCTTAACAGTCAACTTATTTTCAGTTTCACATCATTAGCCATACCGTATGTGCTTTGGGAGGTTATCATGGCCAAAAAATCCTGTAATCCTAACGGCGACATAATCTGATCTGCTCTGGGCTGGATGCTGCCGCATGGCTAAACTGCTTTGAGTGGGATTGCACAGCATGTGATCCGAGCCCCCCCCCCCCTCTCTCACCGGAGCTCAGAGCAACTGGTGGAGCTGCTGTTGTGGGAGTATCTGCGCCGTTAATTATAGTTCCAAGACTTGATTAGAGTCGGATGTTTTTTTTTATCACTTACGGAAAATGACCCTGCCTCTGTGATGCTGCTCCTGGCTGTGGTTCGACACAGATGGGACCCGGCTTGGTTTCATAATGAAAGCGAGAACACACGTTTTATGATGACTATACGATCACTACTATAGGGTTCGTTTGAAACTATTATGTAGAAGAACTGTAAAAGTATGAGACATACAGAAACGGATCCACCGATGCTGCTCTACTTATTTTTTATGTTATATTATAAAAGCAATTGTGGTTTGGTATATTTTTATAATTTTGATTTAGAAGAAATCAAACACACACACACAGAAACTGTTCTCTCTGGCAGGATGCGTGACCTGAATATTGCTCTCTGTGTTGTTGCTCATTCCAGTGGGAAATGGGTGCTTTTGTGTTTGCCCGATGGGAAGATGATCTGTAGTTGATTGTCAGTCCGGGCCTTTTGTGTGTCCAATTTAAAAGGGATCAGCCCGTGTGACTGCCACTTCAAAGCTTTGTGGTGAACCTGATGTCTGTTTGCTCTCACTGGGGCAACGCCGCACACATCACAGTTCCACATTTCGACATTGTGTGGCTGCATGAAAACCGACTGTGGCTGGTCGTGCGTTGACGTGATTTTTTCTGGCTGCTATTTCCAAAAATAACTCTAGATTTGAAATTTCCACGTCTTTTCAGATTTGTCCACCTGACTGTGGCCCGTCATGACGGAGTGAAGCTCGAGATGTTCGGCGCATTTAAATGAGGCGAATGTGTGATTGTCATGTTTGAGAACCATGGCTGAGGCCGTGATAAGGATGTATTACATAAAGTGTTTGCTCGCTCCCTGTTTGATCTGATTACATCATCACTTTAAAGTAAACAAACCAGCCTTATTTGCTGCTTCACAGTGTCTCATTCAAGGGTTGGGAGTTAATCCTGCTTGTGGTCAGTCACGCCTATCCTATGTTGTGCATGGTGAAGAACATTCTTACCGTGTGCACGGCATGCTCAATGCTATTAAGTGCATACCTTATAGGCCAATAATTCACACTAATCTCCATCTTGACAAGCTTGTTTAATAAGAAGTAGATTAGGCTTACTGATCGGCCTTTTCCCGACCCTTTCCATCTCTGTATTCCTCTCCTGGTCCCCCTTTTGCTTCGCCTCATTGCTCCCATTTCCCTTGGTAATGGTTTGTTTTCTTCCTGTCTGCCTCTTCTCTACAGGTTGTATGTGTCTCCAAAAAAGCAAGTAGACAATCAAGGCCCAGAGTCTCCGTTGAAGTGGTGTCGGCAGGCTCTTGACCAACGCAGCCCCGAGACAGAATTAGCTTGCCGGACCCTGATCAGCCGCTTGGACCAGAGTATGTAAACACAAACATGTTTGCATTAAACTCTTTGAAGTGTGTGAACCAAGTATTTATTATGCTGCTTTTTTATTCATTAACAATCTGTCAGAGGTGGTTGGCCTAAATCAAGATTAAGACTCCTAACTCAGTGCAGGGTGAAGGTCTTACCTACCTCTGTGAAATGCTGTCCTCTTATTTACTGCTCACCTCTACTGTGTGCACAGTGTTTGTTTTAGTTGCATGACAAAGCCCGAGCGTGTGGACAGAAGTGCCTGACTGATCCAACAGGCCCCATATATTATTTACCCGGCTCGCAGCGCCGACTTCCTGTACACTGCAGAACCGGAACAACAGAGCTATTCACACCAGGGCTGACTGACTACATGAATCATGGGCTGGGTTGGATTACTCCCCCCCCCCCTGGGTCAGCTCAGTCTGATTGATGCTATTACACACTGCCATGCTTTGTTTCTACTTAATTAGATCACATGCAAATGACACCAGGCTGCTAAAAAATAAACACCCACCTCTCCGCAAATCAGACTGGTCGGTTATAACTCTGTCTTCTGTCTATTTATGTGGGAGACATCGGATAACTGGAGCTCTTTACCTTTTTTAAAGCTCATGTCTTATTTGATTTCCACATGAAATACAGTACAATTATGACTTGAAACAGTGTTGGATTGGTGAAATCATACAAATAATTGTTTAGTGAAGGAATTTGATGTATTTATATCCTAATTAACAGTTAAACGTACGACACATCTACCTCTGGCTGCAGTTATGAGGTGCCGTGTGTTCACAGCATCTAGACAACAACACGATTTCCCGGAGGTCCGACTCTTCCTGTTGGCCTGTTGTCGTCATGTGTGGCTGTCATCGGCTCAGCTGTTGTGACTCTTTTACGCTTCTGCACCTACAAGAACCAAAAGAGCAGATGCACACAGTTTGTGCGCCCAAGACCTACCGCTTTCCACTAAAAATGGGGCCCTTAATGTAATTTAATTACCAACCATACTTTTATTATGTATGATGTGCTTTGTATTTATTTATCTTCATATTGTCCTTTATTTAGCCAGGACGGTCCTATTGAGACACAAGATCTCTTCTTCTTCTTCCAGGGAGTCTTGGTCGTGAACAGTTTCACGTAAAACAAAATTCCCCTTAGAACCCAAACAATACATTAAAGCACGTCCTCTCTCTCTCTCTTTTTAAGGTGTGTATGATCTTCTATCTAACCGCTCCTCTCCTGTTCCCTGCAGCGTCTCGATGGAGGAGCATGTACAGTAGCCCATCAGCAGAGGCAGGCTCGACCGGCTCAGGCCTGATCTCTCCTGGGTACCACAAATCAACTAACAAATCCCTACTAACCTGTGGCAGCTCAGGTATGGCATGACATTAACACACTGTGCTCCTCCTTTTCTGCTCAACACAACAGTGGGATTGACTGCAGTTACTGTAAGGATGTAGGTCACTTGATATGCGTGTGTGCACTAAAGCGTAACAATGTGTTCCCTCGGGATCTGAATGGTCATTTTTGGACTATTCTGGCCTTTTTGCATGTTTTACCCAGTTTACTGTGTGCCAAGTATACTGCACTCTTAAAAACAACAACTATAAGTTAGATTGATTTTCTACTTTTACCATGCAGACTTTAAGCATTCATTTTATTACTGGAGCCTTGTATCACAGACTCCATTACGGTCCATTGAACAGCAGGGAAATTAGGAAAGAAATAATAAAATAAGTGAATACAGATGTCATGAAAGGGCAAATGTGCTTCCTGCATGACAAAGGTTGCTGATAGTATACACGTGAATGCACCACCAACAACACATCTGTATCACTGGTATACTTTGGCAGTGCTGACCTGTGTGAAATGTGTTCTGCTGGTGATGTTGACTTTGTAGTGATTGTTACAGTTACTTTGCACTTTTCGTTGTTCCTCACATTGCCTGGCACTTTGTGCAGAGACCAACAATGCTGATGTTGTTATGAATTCCCTGTAAATAACAAATCTTTGCATGAACTTGTAAATGCTTGGCTTGTGGGTGGTGACCCTATCTAATCCCAGACTTTTTACATAACCAAATGCCCCTGGATGGTGATGTCATTTCCCATTTGTGTGAGAGTTAGGCCTGCGTCGGACAGACACGCCCGGCAGGGGAACTTGGCATTTAGCGTTTCTGGGCATCATCGGTATAGACGGTCCTTTCTAGACTAATGCTGCTTGAAGAGTGAAGTCCGGTGGAGAGACGTGTTCATTTAAACAAATGTGATTCGTCTATATTCATCAGAAAAATCTGAATCAGAAACTGTTTATTGTCAAGTACGTTACACATACAAGGGATTTGGCCTAACAGTAAAACACAGTGCAATATGACATAATTTTAAAATAGAAAATATCAACATTTACAATAAAATTTGGTAAACAAACAAATAAGAGTACGTTAAAACAAGCATATTATTAAAGTGTTATGTGTATGTCTTTATTTATATATATAAACCTTACTTAGGCCTCGTATCAAATCTGTTGTTTTTTGGCGGCTGATGTTTTTTTTCCGTTAGGCAATCTTGGTTTGAAAGCTAGTTATTGTTCTTTGATACAATCCCTTGGCTGTGCCGTGTTGTACAGGTTTTAACCTGGCGCCATTGTTATGCACAATGGAGGCAAAACATGCCAGGCTATATCCATGTTTTATTTGTTGTCTGGAGAGCCCTGCAGCCATTATAATACCGGTCTTGGTTAATGGTTTTTTTCTGCAGTTCGTTCCCCGGGCATTTATTTGTTCAAACAGACCACATGGCCATTATTTCAGTATCTGCTTTGATTAGTGAGGTGAAGCTTGTTTAATACAGCGCGCCCATTGTCTTTTCACAGGTTTCCCCACCGTGCGCTCTGCCCTGAGCTCGCAGTCCTCCATAGATAGCGAGCTCAGCACATCCGATGACTCCATCTCTATGGGCTATAAGCTGCAGGATCTCACTGATGTCCAGATCATGGCTCGCCTGCAGGAAGAGAGTGAGTGGAAGGGTTGTGCACATGCTCATTGTGTTTCCCAATTCTAAATTCCACGGCTGCCCGTGCATATGTCGTTTTTTAACTTTATAATTCTGGTGTCAGGTCTGAGGCAGGATTTTGCCTCCAGCTCAGCATCCGCATCACGCCGCAGCTCCACGGCCTCGCTACAATCCCTGCGCCGGGGCGGCACCTACAGCGATCAGGAGTTTGACAGTTACAGCCTGGAGGACGAAGAGGACGAGTTTTGCTCCATGCCCCAGCGACGACATCGCTTCACCCCTTCGCCGTTAGGCTCACCCCGGTGCTTGTCCCCCTCCACCTCCAATCACGGTCAGGAATACAGCAGCCGACTCGGGGCTCCACGCACAAGAGCACCCAGACGATCTCTCCAGGGCCCCAGTGCAGAGCTGATTCAATTTGCCAAGAGCGAGGGTAGGCTATAGCCAATAATTCAGCATGTATACCCTACGTCGAGAAGATCAGAGGGGACCATCACAGATTCTTGTTGGACCAAAGCTGTGATGACGCACATACTGTTGTTGCTAAATGTGTATTGTATGTGTGGTTCCAGAGGAGTTGAGGCACAGCATGCCTAATCTGGCCCCCCGCACCAGCCTACGTTCCCTGGAGGCAGTCAGAAACAGTCGCAGCATGGAGGCTAACCTCCAGAGCTCCGGCAACCGCATGTCCCACCTGACTCACTCCCCCTCCACAGGTAACCCTACCCTCTTCACCTGGTCCGCACCATTTCTCCAAAATAATGGCACCTTCCTTTGCCTTGCATATAGCCCTTTGTATTGTCACTTCTATCCTACCACCTTACCTTCTCGAAGCTCTGCATGACCACAGTTTTGAACAATAATCGTCTTAATGATACCCTGTGGAATATGTGACCACTACTAGACACTATGGAGAAGTTGTCTTCATGAGGAGGTCCCCAGTTTTCTTATATCTTGCACATGGGTGACACGATAAATATACTAGGCAATGGTTTCACATTATTCCACTAAACTAATGATGGTAGTAATGCGCCAAGAAATGTAGCAGTGCACTGACAAAGGCTGTTAAGACTGCTAGCAAACAAACTTTGAGAACATTTTGAGAAAATTGGCTTTGCAAATGTTAGCGTTGAGACTTGGTGAGTAAACAGAAAACTAAAAAGAAAACTCAGTGACATAATAAATACAAATTAAAAGTTTGCTGAAGGCTATTGTCAACAAAAAATGTTTGATGTTTACCAACAGATGGCATGTGCTTACAAGTCTCATGCAATAAACAAGATGGAAACATTATTAAATACATACACAAACACAAAAAGTTGCTCTGCTCATGTTTTTCACATGTAAAAAATTCCTAAACATAAATGTTGAACAAAAAAAAAATCTATTGATCTGATACATCAAAGTATCGATCTAACCTTTACCGTCCAACCCTAACAAGTCATGTCATCTATAACAAACTCGTACTATATATCGCTCACAAGTACCTCGGAGTTCCATAAACCATCCCATATTCTGCCCTCCTTCCCTGACATACCCCAGGTAATGAACAGTTAACCGTCCGTTCACTCACCTGCTACATGATTGTTCCACGACTTTCCTCCCAATGTATCCTTGATATGCCGGTGCTGCTCCTCCCAGGCTTACCTCCAACTCTTACATGCCACACACAGGGTTTGGATTTCAACTACAGCATATGTATCTTTTGTATATACTGTATCAACAACATGCATTTGATTTGTCTGAAAGAAATAGCTGGTTGAGATTCTGTTATACCACTGTGCCTTTCTTCCACTCAAGGTATGGCTTCTAGTCGACTGCGTGGCAGCGGCCAGTCACCTCTCTCCCTGCGGACTCCAGTTAAAGCTGTGACTCCTGTGGGCTCCATGGCAGCTGGTCGTCAGCCTTCCAGAGGTCTGCCTGTTGTCCAAGCGTCGTCGGCAGGCGGGGGCCGCAGGGTCCAGTCACTAGGCTCTGCCAATGGCGGAGCCTACATACCCGGGAGAGGCTCCACTGGGGCAGGGAGGGCTGCCGTGGGTCGAGGACAGGCGTCTACCAGGAGTAAACTCTCACAGCCCCCACGGAGGTGAGTGCTTAAATTAAAAACTATGAAGGAATGTTGCGAAATTGAGGAAAATGTCCATTCAATAATGGTACATTTGTTTCTATTCAGATCATCACAATCTGATACTTGGGCTCTTGAATGAAGACTAACTCTGTTTTATTGACAGGTCTTTTGGCATGACTAAAATGTCAGATGAATCCTGGAAAGATGGTTGTTACTGAGCCCGGCCGGTGATGAAGGATTGTCCACTGCTGCAACCCTCACCTGACCTCTTCCCTTTACCTCTCATAGTACCCTCGAGGAACACAGCCACTGTGTCCACACGTGTCGTACAACCTTTCGGTCCCCATTTCAGACTGGAGCGCCGGGCTGCACTGGATTCGCAGCCGAGACTCGTCTCTTTCCCTCGCATGAAACATTGTCAACCCACACACAGAGGATGTGTAGGCAGACGGGAAGGCACACATGCACACTCCACTTGTGATATAGACCAACTCTGAGCTTCCAGAAGATTTGTCTGTGTCAATTTTACTTATTTTTCTATGGTAATTATGAAAAAACTGCTGGAATATGGGTTGTATCACTGTTCTCTTGCTGTAATTGATATGAAGAAAATTTAAATTAAGTTATAGGTGGTTTGTTCATTTTCTGTGCATTCCTCCTCGATCAAGGTGCTGAATGTTGCATGCTCGGTTTTGTTTTTGTATCCTTATCATCATGTAACTGCAATATGATCTGTGTGAAGTTATGAATGTTTGATTGGTTTATTGTGTAATTATCTTTAGATTTGTGTTTTGCTCTTTGCTGACACAGCAATGCAACTCCTGTAAATCACACTGCCCTTATAGATCATTTTAAAAAAAAATAAAAAAATGAAAATATGGTTTGTGCCAAGGCGCATTTCAGCTGCAAAACTCTTTCTAATACCAGACGAATCTTGAATCAATAAAGGTACTGTTATGGTACTGCATTTTTACTGCATATCAATATTTGGTTGAGTATGCTTTTGGATACCACTGTAATAAAGAACATGTTTATGCACTAAGGCCTTGTGCCTTAAGACAGCTATGCACCCTCATGCAGAGTGCTTCTGACAATTAGGAGCTGTAATGCAAATGAATAATAAAGTCTACCCTGAAACTATAATTGCACCATTTCTGGTTCTTATTATCCATGCATGTTAAATCGAGGTCTGTTTAGTCACACTGCAATCCATCTGCTGCAGCAGTACCATCAGCATCTCCCGGATGTTTCCTGTGTGCACCACCAAACGCCTCACAAATGAGATCTCGACTACCCACCCCTTGTGACAAAATGGCCCACAGGCCTCAACCGTGCATACAAAGTCTGAGTGCAGTCTGCAACCACATTAAAAATATAGATATAATTCTTGATGTTATGTTTAAATCCCGTGCATCACAACCGGGCGTATATATGTTCCCATTATGAGAACGTATCTGTTAATGTAACTCTGCTCTTTTATGCATGACGCAAATAGTAAGGGATCAGCGGTAAACGAGGCCACGCATTGTCTGCCCCCCGCCCTCCCTCTGCTTGTCAGGAAGCAAGCTGATTGGCCGAGGCCTAGCAAAGGGTGCCCGGGGATCCTAAACTGCAGGCCGCACTTAGCTTACCGTCAAAAATAAACCAAAACAATAACAGACAAAACTGAGAAGGGGGAGAAACACCGATAGAGTCAGAAGACGACGCTATCAGGTAAAATTAATTTGAGTCGGTTAGAAAGGCATGTGGAATAAGACGCAAGGGCCCAGTCGGCCGTAGCGGGCCTCTTTCAGCCTTTTGGAAAAACATGGAAGATAATGCGGCACAAGCGGCTTCACCTAGCTTAGCAGGCTAGCTAGCCGATCGGACGGCCGTCGTCGCGCAGATCAGAGCGGCATGCAAAAACATGATCGCACAAGGCATATGTGGTTGTTGCTGGTGCTAATGCATTTATTAGTACGGTGACGTTGTGTGTACTTGAGATTTCAACGGCTAAATAAGATCGGTTGTTGCATTCCTTGAATTAGCATGTATGCTAAAACAAAATGGCGCTCAGGGGAACAGCCCTAGCTTGGTTGCTAGTTAGCTCTGGTGGGTGGAGGGCGGTAGCCGCCTCAGTATGCATTGCATAACGTCTGCGGTACTTTCACTGGCGGCCATAAACTCCGAGCATGTGTAGTTTCATGCGGAGTCCAGAGTACGATACTGTTTTTAAACGACACAAGCGGCAGCACCGTATTAGTTTATATCCCAATATGACATATATCCGTGGAAGTCGGGGACCCACATCGTAACTGCAGGTCTTTGCAGGAACTAACGCTACATATATTTGGCTAATTTTGAGCAGTCATGTGACGACAATGCACTTCCTCTCGTGAAAGCAACCAGGACTCATCTTTTAGGAGCAATCAGAGCCGCTGCTCAGTGTTCCTTCTGCACACTGAGCAGGACAGCCCTTTGTCCCGGCTGGGTTGCAGCCATCAGGCTCAACCAGCTCCAGGTGTATGGGTGGCTATATGTCCTCGGGTTGAAGCCGCCTGTAGTACTCTTGATAAGCAATGGATGGAGCCAGTGGTCAACAACACAACTGCCCCCGTTCTCAGTTTTTCTGCCTTGTGTTTGAACGTTTCTCAACCAGAGGCCATTATTTGTAGTGGCTCCAGTGTCCTTATTATAAACCTGAGCCCATATGGAAATGTTGTGTGTTGTAATGTTTTTATGACACTTAAGCATCACTAACTAACTCATTACCTATTTTCTCTCTCTTCTAACAACACCAAAATGCACCAGAGTACTAATTGTTTGTTTGTTTTCTTTGTCAGAGGGATTGATTACTTTACCTTGATGGAAGGAAGCGCATCAAATATCCTATTGGTTGTATTCTAAGGGTTTTGTCATCAAATGTGAAGGTATGTATTAACTTTGCCTTGTTAGATGGTGCTTTCACTTTCATTTTTAGTAATGCACATTACAAAGTCTGAGTGCAGTCTGCAGTCTGAGTGCAAAGTTCAAGAAAACAGTTAACTCAGTGTACACTGTAATTTTCAGTATTTTCCCAGATTAAAGACATGGATCAAGGAGGAGGGGTGTTGGAGCTGCACACTCAGGAGCTGAAGATGCCCCACGCTATGATCATGCAAGACTTTGGTAGGTGGTCAAATAGGACAAGGTGAACCAATAATCTCGGCATGCAAAATGTAATCCAAGATACCCCACAAGTAAAAGTACAAGCTAAAGCATTACAGGTTATAAATATAGAAACTGTAATTCCCTAAAAGCATGTAATTACTGTATACCATGATAAGAGACCATTTCCCTACACTTACTAGTCAGGTTGTTTGTGTCACAGCTGCCAATTTGACAGTGTAAATGCCATTTAGCTTAATCTTCTACCAAAATAATAAAGACACAGTGACATAAAAAGGTCAGTGTGACATTTTCACAGCATACCAACAACAAGAAGGCGATACTCTGATATGTTCGCTGTACCTAGAATGTGCAAAAACAGTTTTTAGCTTTTCTTGTCACTTTGTTTTTTTTTTTAACGCTTTGTCATGCACCTCTCTCTGTGTCTTGTGTTTACAGTTGCAGGAATGGGGGGTCTGGCTCACATCGATGGCGAGCACATTGTGGTGTCTGTGCCCGAAGGTATGCTTCTCTCCGATGTGATGACGGACGAGGGCATCCTCCTGGAGCACGAGCTCGAGGTGGAAGGCCTAGAGACTCATGTGGTTCAAGGCCTAGAGACAGAGGTGGTCGAGGAACTGGAGACCGAGGTGGTGGAGAGCTTACATTCAGATGTCGACTGCTTGGAGGCAGAAGTGGTGGACGGGCTACATACGCATGTGGTCGAGCTGGAGGCTCAGGTTGTCGAGGGCCTAGATGATGAGGTGGAAGTGGAGGGTCTGGAGGCGCATATGGTGGAGGGCCTGGAAACTGAGGTAGATGTTGAGGACATGGAAGCTCACGTTATCGAGGGCCTTGAGGAGGAGGTGGAAGTGGAGGGTTTGGAAGCTGAGGTTGTCGAAGGCCTGGAGGTAGACGTCGAAAGTCTGCAGTCTCAGGGGGTGGAAGCCCATGAAATTACCACTGAAGACATGGTGTCCTCGGAACACTGTGTGATCATGCCTGAGAACATCCTGGGCACAGAGGTCGCAATAGAGGAAGATCTGGACCACCATCACCACCATCATCATCATCATCATCATGTCTTAACTTCAGACCTCATCCAGGGCTCGAACCACCACGACATGCCAGACCAGGTGTTTGTGGCGGAGCTACTGTCTGAGCACCAGGACAACACTCTGGACCACCAGCTTGTGTCCGAGGGCTTGATGGTGACGGAGGCCAACTCCGAGACTATAATCCACCAACAGCTGCCAGCTGAGGCTGTTAGCCTGCAGACAGACGAGGAGGATGATGCAAGAAGCAGCTCTGAGGATTACCTCATGATCTCCTGTAAGACAGCTTGCCATATGGGAACTTGTATCAATAAACGTTCTTCTTATGCAATGCCATGTTTTGTTTGGTTTTTGCTGATTTTTGATAACTATGGCTATTTGTGTTGTTTTAGTGGATGAGGTGGGAGAGAAGCTGGACATAGGAGACACTCCCCTGGAGATCAGCACTGAGGTGTTGGAAGACAAGGAGTGTAAAGAGGAGGACGGCTCTGAGGTCATCAAAGTCTACATTTTCAAAGCTGAAGCGGACGACGATTTAGGCAAGTGGCTTTAAGTTTAATCAATTAAAATCAAGTAGATACCTCCCTGTTAACCCATTCAGACCGGAGGCAACTAATGCGTTAAACTGAATGTAGCTCGTGGCTTCGATTCAATTGTCTTTTTTTTCTCTCTCTTTGCAGGTGGAACAGAGGTAATAACGGAGGACGATTACCAGAATGGCCACCCTGACCTGGAAGCTGCATCGTCGGGCAGACTGGGAGTTGGCCGTGACAAGATGGTCTACATGGCAGTCAAGAACCATCCAAAAGAAGAAGAGGACGATGAGGACGACAGCGATGAGGATGACGATGATGACATTAGTATGTTCACAGCTTTTAGTCCAGTATGTCAGACGGGTTGTGTGGCTGTAATAAGGCATCAACCTTCAGTCTTTGACTGTTGAAAGGAGATCAGTAAGAGGAGGCTTACTCAGATGACTTACTCAACAACAATGTTTTTGTCTGTCTGGACAGTTAGTACAGTAAATGCCACAGCTTGTGATAATAAACATGTATGTAACATGGTAGTGGCATAAAGTGTAATGAAATAATGAAATCTAAACTGTCTGTGCAGGTAATACCATTGATCGGGTGAGGAATGGAGCTGCTACGCCATTTCTTCAAATCCGAGAGGGGCTGGGTGCAAACCGTGCCCTCAAACCCAAACCTAAGAAAAAGAAGAAAGGAGAAATCCGACAGTCTCAGACTGGTATGAACAGCGTACAATTCTTGGATGATAAAATCTGTATGATTTGATAATTTAAACAATTTTGAAAGGTTAACAGCATTTCCAACCATCTCTTCCAGCTGTTATAATTGGACCAGACGGTTTGCCTCTGACGGTCTACCCCTGCCACTTATGTGGAAAGAAGTTTCGCTCAAGAGGCTTCCTCAAATGCCACATGAAGAACCACCCGAACCACCTGCTTAAAAAGAAGTACCAGTGTACGGACTGCGACTTTACCACCAACAAGAAGGTCAGTTTCCATAACCACTTGGAGAGTCACAAGCTGCTGAATCACAGCAATGAGCGCTCTCCAGAATACAGCGAGTACGCGCGGCGCTACCACGAGTCCAGCCCCTTGGGCTCCGACAAGCTCATCGTCAAGGACCGGGAGCCCAAACTGCACCACTGCAAGTACTGCGATTATGAGACGGCGGAACAAGGCCTGCTCAACCGTCACCTGCTGGCCGTGCACAGCAAGAACTTTGCACACGTGTGCGTCGAGTGCGCCAAAGGCTTCCGCCACCCGTCGGAGCTGAAGAAGCACATGCGGACCCACACGGGAGAGAAGCCCTACCACTGCCCGCACTGCGAGTTCCGCTGTGCGGATCAGTCCAACCTTAAGACTCACATAAAGAGCAAGCACGGCGCGGATCTGCCTTTCAAGTGCAGTCACTGTCCGCAAGCCTACGCCGACGCACGGGAACTCCAGCGTCACATAGAGATGGTGCAAGGCCACAAGACCCACCAGTGTCCACACTGTGAGCACAAGAGCACCAACTCCAGTGACCTGAAGCGGCACATCATCTCCGTTCACACCAAGGACTTCCCCCACCAGTGCGACGTGTGTGAGAAAGGCTTTCACCGGCCTTCGGAGTTGAAGAAACACGCGGAGACACACAAGGGCAACAAGATTCACCAGTGCCGCCATTGTAACTTCAACGCTCCCGACACCTTCACTTTGAGTCGCCACATCCTGTCCTTGCATACGAAGGACCTCCCCTTCAAGTGCAAGCGTTGCCGGCGAGGCTTCCGGCAGCCCGCTGAGCTGAAGAAGCACATGAAGACGCACAGCGGTAGAAAGGTTTATCAGTGCCAGTATTGTGAGTATAACAGTACGGACGCTTCTGGCTTCAAACGCCACGTCATCTCCATTCACACGAAGGACTACCCCCACCGCTGCGACTACTGCACCAAGGGCTTTAGGAGGCCCTCGGAGAAGAGCCAGCACATAGCCAGGCATCACAAAGACATGCTGATGTAATGCCGCCGCGCACACAAACACACTCCTCTTTCCCGAGTACATCTGTGTCACACACCCAGAGGTCATTTTAGTGTATTAACAAAGAAGTGACGCTGTTAATGAAGACGGCAACATTATAATTGCCGTTGTGTGTTCTGTGTCGTCATGGGTGTAAACCTCCTCCCCCAGGGGTAATGCAAGAACATATTTTAGATGGGGGCGAAGACTAAAAAGAAAAAAAAAGGCAGTGTGTACACTGAGTGGGACAGCTGTAAATTGTGTTTTGTTTTTGTTGCAGAAAAATCACATATGAACATATATTCAGGGTCTCAAATGTCTATATTTTTATACCCACTCAGCTGAAATGCTGCAAGATGATGACTGTGTCCTGTAAAACAGAAAGTGGTGCTTTGTGAACGTCATGCCAGTTCTTCAGATGATGTGGAATGAGCACCGGAGAAGTTTACCTCCATAGTACCGACTAGTATCTTTTTTTTTCCCCCTATTAACCAGCTTTTATCCCGACGTCTGTTTTCAGCGGCGTCCGGTCTTTAAGGGGCGGGGCCATTGGATCAGTTCAGAAATGGTTTTGAGTGATGTTGACGCATTACGCACCTTAAAAAGATGTTTCATGAAATCAAACTGCTTAACTTCCATCATTTTGGATTTCCCTGCCAAGGCTGAACACTTGGAGTTCCATTAAATTAATCATGTATAATATAGACTGTTCTGCTAAGTATGTCTTAAAAGTTAAATCAGAAGCTTTTTCTGGTCCGATCAGCATTGTCTAATAATCAGTGTCTAACAAGGAGGAGAAATGGTAAACTAGTAGAATAAAACATCCCTTTAGTGTACACAACACATTTCTGACACAGATGTCAACTATTATATCTGCTGTGAAGGTGCCGAGGGCTCACGGGTGTGTTAGTATATGAACGTGACCGATGGCGGGCTTTGCGTTTGATAACCCCTGAACCGGTTACACCTAACTGCCACTGTAAGTATGCACGTATGTGTGACGTTTCCCATGACACAGGTGTGCTCTCTCAGTTAACCGTTTGATTGCAATCATGCCTTACATCTGTTGGTCTTTATCCCTCACGCACTGATGAACACAGCCAACCAGAAAATAAGTGATTTTTAACTGTCAAACAGGCTGTATCAATACCATTCTCTCAGAGATTGTGTGTTTGAGTCAGTAGAAAGCACTTTAATTATTATTTTTTGTATTTTAATTGTGTGTGTGTGTGTGTGTGTATATATATATATATATATATATATATATATATATGTATATGTGTGTGTATATATATATATATATATATATATATCCTAGATAATAAACAACTACAGAGCTTTGTGAGTTGGTAAAGGTGAAGATTGTTATCTCTAGCAAGTGGGCACGCTCCATTGCTGCATCAGAACTGAATTGTCATTGAAAGTGGTGGGTAAACCATTTATTGTTTTGTTCTATGGAAAAGTGATTTGGTTTTGTGTTTTGTTTGTGCTCACTAACAAGTTTCCCAGACCCTCGTCCTGCAGTCCTGAATAATCCAACCCCATCCCACGCATGGGATGATTCCCGTGAAGTCCTTGGTCATCATATTGGCATTAGTCTTTAAAGTATGCACATATGCCGTCTCCATGAAATTCAATG